TACCCCCCCCCCCCCCCCCCCCCCAACATGTTACAATATTATTTATATTTGTAATTTTTTAAGTCCAATAAAAGCAAATTCTCAAGTAAATGAATAATTGTTTTAAATAATCATGATTTCTCCTTTTCTTTTCGACATTTTTCAGGGGTTGCCACAGCGAATCATTGATTTCCATATTGCCCTGTTCTCTGTATCTTCTACTCTGACACCAACTACCTGCATGTCCTCCTTCACTGCATCCATATATCTCCTCTCCTTCTCCTACCTGGTAGCGCCATCTCTAACATTCTTCTACCAATGTATCCACTGTCCCTCCTCTGCACATGTCCAAACCATCTCAGTCTGGTTTCTCCAGCTTTTTCTCCAAACCTTCCTGTCTGTGTTGTCCCTCTAATGACCTCATTCCTGATCCTGTCCATTCTTGTCACTCCCAAAGAGAATCTTAGCATCTTTAACTCTGTCACCTCCAGCTCTGCCTCCTGTCTTCTGCCTATTGCTAGTGTCTCTAAACCATACATCATGGCTGGTCTCACCACCGTCCTGTAAACCTTTCCCCTCACCTTAGCTGACACTCTTCAACATGTCCCGAGTCATCTTTGCAGAAAACTCAACCCCGATACATCAAACAACAGGTAGGCCCCTCAAGTGAAACCGGCCACTTGTGTGTCTTACACAATCCCCGTTTCGTATCTTAACACAGGTAAACACAATATCCTTTAGGTCAGGGTGTGTCAACCTGCTTGTTTTTCTGCAATAACTCTCAGTTCACACCCTGATTTACTGGGTATGTATGTATGTATGTATATATGTATGTATATACATGTATATGTATATATATGTATATATATATACATATATATGTATATATGTATATGTATATATATGTATATATGTGTATATATATATACATGTATATATGTATATATATATATATGTATATATATATACGTATATACAGTATTTAATACACTGTATATACTTGTAATTATAATATTATCTCGTCCAGATTTTTAAAAATATTTTTTACTGTTTATTTATTTATTTATTTTTGTCCCTAGGGTAAAAAGTTTGTGAATACCTCAAATACCTCGTGTTTGAGTTTGAGAACATAATAATGTAATGTAACACAGGCCAGAGTTCTGCTGCTTTTGAACTCACCCAGCAGTTAAAATGAAACTTTATGGGGTCAAATTGTTAGAACATGCTTTTTTTTCCCCTTTGAAAAAACAAAAAAAAAAAATTACTACCAGTTGAATGAACTGTTGCCAAATGGGTCACAACTAGGGCTGTAACGATGCATCGAGAATCGCTTAAAAAACAATACAAATAAAACGTGATAATTCGCATCAGTGAAATAAAAAATGAATCGTGGCATCAAGGTGTACGGAGAAGTACACTCTAGTCCACTAGGTGGCAGTATGCGCATAAAAACGTTAGTTGTGACCCGCTATTAAACCAAGACGTCAGGTCCCTGTGTGGACTAAGTGAGATTCAGGTGTCTGAACAGAACGTGGAAAGAAGTTGTTCCACAGATACAAACCGTGTTTTACAGTGTTTCTGTAGAGAAAGGAACTCTTTCCAGTTCATATTTTTATATTTTTTGTTGATGTTTAATTTTTTTTAAATGTAAAAAATTGTCAAAAAATCGTTATTGACCAGCCATTGTTTCAAATGGAGCAAAACTTGCAGTAGTTGCATCTTTTGACATTTCCATACTGGACTAATGGAGATTTTACACAGATATTTTTTTCATTATCTAATCAAGACAGATGTGGACTTATCAGAAACACCATTGTCCAATAGACCAGTTTTCACTTGTACCTTTACTGTTGTGTGCTGCGGCAACAGCACTGAGTCATGGTGACAACTGCTGCTGCTGCTACGAGGTGACCTGCTAACTGCAAGTCAGCACTCGATGCCTCTGTAGCGAAATCCTCCATCCATGACACACTGCAGTCACTGCAGGTCAATTACTTCAGTGCGATGTGATGACTCTCCCTTTAATCTGGCCTCTGCCTGTGTGTGTGTGTGTTTTCACTGCGGTGTTTAGTGTGTGTGTGTGTGTGTTTGCACTGCGGTGTTTGGAAGACAGAGTGTGTGTGTGTGTGCAGGATGTTTACTGGTGGAGTCTTTACGCAGTCACAGACTGAATGTGGCTTTGCCTCTCGTCACGTTGCTCCTCCACTTGTTTGAAGTTGTCTGCAGCTGCACAAACGCACAGTTGACCAAGAGAGAGGCCAATCATCCACATGTTGGAGTATTTGGCTACTCTGGTTTTTATTTATTTTTATCTACCTCTAAATAGACCCAAAGGAATTTGGGGCCCTGGAGGCGAACAGGCAGTGCCCGTGATTTTTGGTTCGGTCCAAATGTGTCCTCCAGGGGTGCTGCAGACCCATAAAGATCGTTTAAAAATGACAGTGTTTGTTCTGTAATAACTGCAGAGACAGAACAAGTTGGTGACATTCTAACCATAATTTAGTCCTGGTTATTTTATAGAGCAGTGATATTTCATATTTTATGACGTTCACAGACCATAAAATTGTTCTCTTCAATAACAGAATACAAAAAAAGTCACATTTCTTTGATCTCCTCTGGTTAAAAGTCAAACTGGTCTGGTCTGATTGACCTGGTTAACTGTCAATATATTAAACAACAACAGAATGTAAACAAACAGGAACTGGAAAGAGTTCTGTTCTTTACAGAAACACTGTTTGTGTCTGTGGAAGAAGTTCTTCCCACTTTCTGTTTCAACACCTGAACGTCACTTCTACATAGGTGACAACGGGTCACGACCAACGTCTTTTAGCCACATACGGCCACCAACTGGTCATACCATGTGGCCATACCATGTGACTAACCAGTACAGTGGTTAGTCACATGATATGACCAGTGACTTTTTGTGATAACTCAGCCTACTCCTTACTTCTTGATGCATGATTCATTTTTTATTTCCACTGATGCAAACTGTCATGCATTTGTATGTATTTTTAACCCATTCACAGTGCATCGTTACATTGACATTTACTGCTATAAATTGTCTTTGTTTATCTATGCAACATTGAGAGGCAGAACATTTAAGTATTCTTCCACTAGGTGACAGGAGATGGCTGTCAAATATCTTTTTTTTAAAACGAGAGAATAAGTGTGTCTTTCTTCAACTCCTGCGAGTAAATAATCATTGTGTTCAACTAAAATGGCCCAGGTTTCACACTAAGTTAGTAGACTAAGTCCATTTTTGTTTTGATGCTGAACTGTGGGATTTTTCAATATAAAATATATTTTGTGGCTGTGAAAATGGCAGGAAACACTCACACAGAGTGTGCTGACGAAATGTTAGCGTATGTATGTGGGAAATGCATTGATTTGTGTTTGTTCTTCAACAAGAATACTGAAGTGTATTTTCTGTCTTTTAGGACTACTTGGCTCACATCATCGATATTAACAACCTTCCCATACAGCCAGAGCAGGTGTGTGCGCTGTTTGGAAACATAGAGGACATCTATGAGTTTAACAGGTATGTAATGTGTGATTGTCAGATTGTCAGAAGGCTGAGGTCAGTTCCCTTTGCATGTTCTTTTCTTTGGCTTTATTGCGCTCTGATTGTGCAGTAGTGATTAACTCCCCTCATTGTGTTCTGTGAGAAAAGATAATGTGAGGAATGTTAAGAATCCTCGACTTTTACTCTGCTGCGAGTATTTCATTCAGTGATGCAAAACAGATGAAGGGAGGAGCCGAGAAGAAACACAATTTGAAAGTAAACAAATAGTGACTATACTTTTACTTTTTAAGCATTTAAGCAAGAGTAAAATAATAAAAAAAAAACAGTTATGGGTGATGAAGCTGATCGATAAATCACATAATGACACATTCCTACGGTACTTTCAGTCAGGATGTCAAGGTCATTATTTCCTTTTCAGAAAGGTATGTTCATTTTTAGAACTTAACAAATCCAAGAAGTTCACTCTGAGGCACGGCTAAACTAACTGGCTCTATTTACACACGTAAGCATTTCCAGTAAAGACAAGATCCTGCCAGAAA